TGAATTGTGGCAGAGAACCAACGTTGCACTTTGCAAACCAACCGTAGAAACTTGGCTCTCGAAGACCATCTGGCGCGTTTGGCACTGGATGACCAGGACACTGTTCCATGGGCCCTGGCAACTCACAACTACTAGTTTGGGTGGGTCACCACGAATGTCATATCAAGCGCTCGCGTGAGGCTTCAAACATGATATCATCGGCCTTAAAAATACCGTGTTCTCATGCTTTCCTTGTGATTTCTCGCCGTCGGGAAGTCAACGGTGACTGAGTGAATGTCGCTCTATCTACACCTATTAAGTGATGCGAGTCCCTTTGGTCGGTCTCTCCGGAATGGTCTGGGAAACATTAATACGGGTGGGTGTCCCGCTTTGCGAGGCAATGACCTAATCTAATGTTTCTAAACCAACCAACCATATGGTCTCATCCAGGATAAGGCAAGTCCAATTGTAGCGATCACTGCTCGAATACCTGGCAAGATCATCATTGGTCATCAGGACTCGGAGCTCAGCCAACATAGGTCAGCTGTGGTACCGTAAGAATGGTGTCCATGACCCGAATAACCTTCCGGGTGACTGAGGAACAAGCCGGTGGGTTGTCAGAGAGTACTAGTACAAATTTGACGTGTACGTCGTGTCTAGCAGCTTGGGGTACTTTCGAGTCGTAATAGCTAGTACTATATGGCCTGTCTTTTGCTTGATTTCATTTTACGACTACTTATCATTAAGAACGTTCCTATTCCCGGACTGCTGCTTCTCCCGCCGGAGATCTCGATCGATCTATTACTAGCAACAGGTCTCTCGGGAGGAATATCTTTGTTCTTTCGAATCTACTACCATACTTTACTCCATCCTTTTCAGTCGCCGCCTTTTTCGTCTGGACCATCAGGGTGACAAGCCATCCGTGCAAGTAATGTACTTGCTATGCTCAGGCCACGTTAAACTGACAGAATTTGCAGTGTCTACTGTCATTGGTGGGTTCGCCATCAACTTGTTCGTGGCTCCTTGCCGCTTTGTGAAGTATGTGAATTCATACTTTCGTAACAAGTGTCCGCACCGCTCATGACAAGTACTGACTTTGGAATTGCAGGGTCACTTACCTACTACTACTAGTAATACTAGTACTATCGTGCAGCGTTAGTCAGACAGTTTCCTCGAGATCTCGGCATTACATGAGGCTTACACATGGCAGCAATCGCCCTCTCGAGCGATCCAAAGACACAGATACCCAGTCCCTTCCACATGATGGTCTCTCCCCAGCTTGCTAACCAGAGGTGCGACTCGCCACCGAAAGCATTGTCCCGTACTCCAGAGCCTTCCTCTTCCTCGACATATGCCTCTGCTCAAGAGATCCCTGAGACAAAGTACATGACTCTTAGGCGACTCCGATCGTCATTGGAGCAAAGTTTGAAGACCGCAACACGTTCCAGAGCAAAAGTCCTGCCACCTGTTGATGACTTCGCAGCCGTCTCCGTCAAGGGTAAAGGCAAGGAGAAAGAGCCTGAAAACCACGTTGCTGTGAAAGGGCAGGAGAAGGATAAGATCCTGTCCGGCATGCTGAGACGATTGGAATCAAGGGTCGGACTGCGTAGGACTGCACGGGTGTCGACATCGACATCGATCCCCCTTGACGCAAGTCACGTCAACGCGATTGGAGCGCCTGCTGCCAGTGGTAATAACGCGGATGTAGTCACCAAATCACGCCAGGCTGGATTCACGAGTTTTACTACCCCATCCCTGTGGCAGGCATCTGTGTCTTCACCAGTTCTCCATCTCTCATCCCAAAATTTGCCGTCGGGTCCGTCGCAACCTGCAGCAATGGCGCCATTATCAAATACAGGCCCTATCACACCTGCACGCGATCGCACGCGGCGCGCCAGCGTTCAGCCCATTAAGTTCAAGGAAATTAGCGGTCCTCAGCCATTAGCAACGCGGCATGACCATCGCAGTGGCGCTGTAATGCCTGACCGCTCTGGTGCGGCCTCCCCTCGGGCAGGTAAATCTCGTCCATCTCCAGTACTCTCTACACCCAGGGGACGTTCGTCGGTTGACGCACCTAGGCGGAGCCATGATTCATCGAGCCCGCCGGGCACCCTGTCTGGCTCCCGAGCGCGGTTTGGCGACCTGTCCAGAACGCCTGTGGCTACGAGTGCCACTCACCTGCCTCTCCACAGCAGTCCACCTTCCTGTCCCACTCCCAATCGTGCTGTGAGTCCTGCACGCGCAAGGACACCTCTTAAACAAGTCGTGGCTCCCGCATCCTATCAGGGGTTTACTTCTGCATCTACATCTACATCACATCTTCCCTTGAATTCCTCCAGTCCACCGACGGTATCAACTTCAGCCCGTATGCCTTCTGTGGATGCACCAAGGAGACCCTCAGTTGATGCGCCACGGAGAGGTTCTGTTGATACCCCACAGAGACCTTCTTTTGACACCTCCCGAAGACCATCTGCAGAAGTGCCGCGAAAAGCATCTGGCGAAACCTCTCGAAGAGGCTCCATTGACGTGCATCGCCGACCCACGGCCTCCCCTGTGCCTAGAGCATGTTCCCCTCAGTCTACCGTGCGTCCACGTGCTACATCACCTTCTCAGCGCACGCCTGCATGCACCCAGACTCGCTTTAATACCTCAAATGCTTCCCTCATCTCTCCTTCCACTCCAGAGCAGCGTGAGGTTATACGTGCTGCAACTTCGCTTCTTTGCAAAGAATTACGGAAAGCACCAGCGCATCTTGCACGTAGTGATACACAGAAGGAGTGGGCGGAAGTAGAGGTGCGCATGCAGCCCTTAATAAGGCTTGAACGCGTTTGGGGGAAGAGTGGCGGTGCCAGTACCAGTTCTAGCCAGGTTGCTGGGGGTGTTGGCTCCGTGGTGCTTAGCTCAGCTGGGGAGGAAAGAGAAAGGAAGCTCTTCTGCGAGGCCCTTCGAGATGGCGTTGTTCTCTGCCAGTAAGCCTTGACAGTCACTCCGACTGGTGTGCTGTTTAATGTTGCGTCTTTTCAGGCTGATAAACAAGCATTATTCTGGGGCCATAACTCGCATCGACCACCGTGAAGATGGTCTTAAGCAAACCAGCAACATCACCAGGTTCATTGCCGCATGCTCGCAACACGGTGTCCCTTCCGACGACATTTTCTATCGTGACGACCTTATCCAGGCGACCCCAGAAACCCTTTGCCGTGTCGCATGTACCATCATTTCGTTGATTAAGCTTTTTGAAGACCCTGGAGTCGGTCGTGCCAAGGTCATCACGGGCCAAGGCAGGAAAGGCGCCATCGTAGCTTCAAGCAACGACCCCTACTCCTCGGCGATTTCTTGCGCCGCTTCTTCCACACCGAATCTGCTGCCACGACCAACCTCTCCAGTTCGCAGAATGCAGAGTCCACATGAACGATCGCTCCTCCCAGTGCGACCTGATAGTCCGCAATCGGGAACATCTGCTGGCACAGCTAAGAGAGTCCCCATCATTGATAGAAGCACGACACCAGCCAGTAACAGCGATCATGAAATTCACCAGGTTCCCCCTCTTACAAGTCCATGTCCAACCCCTATACCTCCCCTTCGTGCGCACTCTCGAACTGGACTTCCAAATGACAGTGGCGTTAGCCCTCTCTCCAGTCTTCAGCCACTCGACATTCCCTTCCCTCAATCACCGACTTCGCAGGTGTCCAATCTGTCGACAGCGGGCTGTGACGCCGACTATCCCCCACGACAGTCAAGAACCTCCAGCAATCTCACTGATAACACTGCCCTCTCCAGCATCTTTGACATCAGACGGGTGAGCAGCAGCAACCAAAACAAGTTTGGAACTATCAGGACTTTCACAACTGAAGCGACCTCTTGCTCTGAGGCGCCTTCGTTCACCCGAACGGAGGCTAGCTCGGTGGCAGCACTCATGGCAGAAGAGATGAGTAGGAGACGGGGTAGTGGAGAGCCTGCACCTCGGTCGAGAGAGCGACGCCCGAGCGAGCCAGGTGTACTTGATCTAGTTAGCCTCGCAGAGGAAGAGGAGAACAGTGCCTGTGGGTCGAGCTCTAACCACCATCAGAAGGAGAGTTTACAGCCTAAAGAACCCTCGCGGGTGCGGGAAACGGACGCGCAGAATCGTGTGCGACTCGGTAAAGGCAAATGGCCCGACGACTTTCTGGACGCTTTCAAGGCACAAGCTCCAAGTCCGTCTCAAACAATTCCAATTACAACATCATCGAACAGTGTAGATCCGCCCCCTAGTTCCAGTCCTCTATCTGTATCCCCGACCAGAAAGCCTTCCATTGTTGGGTCATCACGTCACAACGACAGCCCAGAGTCCCGAGTCCGAAGGCCATCTCATCGGTCAACACATAGCGCGGATGTCCTGATGCCGAGGAATTCAGTGCTTCGTTTGGATGCCAGTTCAGAGAATTCACCAGGCTCCAAAGTCATTCTGCGTCGTCAGAGTACACGTAATGGCGTTCGCAGAAATGGGGTCTACTATCCTCGTAATAGCGCCGACGACCCTGGGACTCCAAAGGATGACGATCCTCGCATTGTCCCCTTCCCGCGTGCCGTGTCAGGGGAACATGCTGCTCGTGCCACACCATCTCCCGATTCTACTGCCAAGGGCGATGTCACGAATAACCAGGATGCTCCCCGTGTGCGTGGTCGCTTCCAAAGTGATGTTGAAGATAATCGAGCTCGAAGATGCAGTCGTCCGACTTCGCTTGATGAGTTGGGTAGAGCGCGGAGGTCTCGATATGAAAGCATGGTCAATCTAGGGGTGGCCTCTACGAATGCAAGTGCGAGCGACTTGCTATCAAGGGACTCCGGCGACGGAAGCGCCGTACGACAGACCGTAATAATCAAGGAAGAAGGGAAACCCGCGACTCATTTCGTGAGTTCTCCTATTTATGCAAGGCAGCGCCCAGGTTTTTGACTTTACCTTTATAAGCAACTCGGAAATTGCATCGGCCGCGGGCAGTTCGGCACAGTGTATCGGGCTCTGAATCTGACAACCGGACAAATGGTGGCAGTTAAACGAATCCGATTAGAAGGTCTGAAAGAGGACGAAGTTGCCCAGCTCATGAGGGAGGTGGACTTGATGAAAAGATTATCACATCCAAGTATTGTGAAGTATGAAGGGATGGCTCGAGATGAACAATACCTCAACATCGTTCTTGAGTGAGTACAGTCCATTATCTTGTCGGATGTTTCTTGTGATGAGTTCAATATAGATATGCTGAAAGCGGCTCATTGGGCCAGATGCTCAAAGCTTTCGGCAAGTTGAATGAGCATCTTGTGGCGGGCTACGTTGTCAAGATTCTCGAGGGCTTGCATTACTTGCATCGTTGCGATGTTGTCCACTGCGATTTGAAAGCCGCCAACATTCTCACTACAAAGACGGGGAATATCAAGCTCTCGGATTTCGGCGTTTCCCTGAACCTGAAGGCTATAGAACGAGAGAAGGACGTTGCTGGTACTCCGAACTGGATGGCCCCCGAGGTCATCGAGCTCAAAGGGGCTTCAACGAAGGCTGACATTTGGTCGTTGGGATGCACAGTCGTCGAACTTCTTACTGGACGTCCGCCATTTGGGGATATCACCAACGCAATGACAGGTATGATCATAGTAATTGTTTCAGATGCATGACTGATGTAAATGCAGTCATGTTCCGCATTGTCGAGGACGAGATGCCCATCCCTGAAGAATGCTCCGAGCCGTTGAAAGACTTCCTTCAGCAATGCTTCCAGAAGGAACCCTCGATGCGACCTGATGCTGAGTTATTGTGCGAGCACCCCTGGTTGAAGAAGAATTGGGATGCCCTCAAGGTTCGTGGGTTTCTGGATAGTATGTAAGATGTTACCAAACGATTCCATTTAGGAGCTTCGTCTTCAGGATAGCATACCCTTTCTCCGGCGTGTTAGTACTGATCTACAAAAGACTGACATTACGCACCTTGCATCTATGGATATCAACAGAATCGAATCACCTTCTTCGGTTCAAGAGGAGCCATCAAAGTCCCCAAGGCGCAGATTATCCAGTGGACCGTCTTCGCCAATTTCGCTTTCGGAGAATACCTCATTCACCCCCATGGATCATTCCTTTATCAAGACCACCTTTGGGAAACGTGAGCCCGAAATTTGCAGCCGGTTAGTCTCGCTGATCGTATTTGTAGCCATGGTCTGCAGAGTGTGTATGGGAAGTATCAAAAGAAGCGCCGTCATTTGCGACAAGTGTAATCTCATCACTCACTCAAAATGTGCTCCTGAAGCTCCTCCCACATGCGACCTTCGCTCTCAACTGTTGCTTTACGCACAGTACGCCGAACAAGGAAGCCCCTCTGGTATCCCACTCGATGGATTAAATGGGTTGCATCCTCCTCGTCCATCGACGATTATTCCTTCTGAAGTCTCCTTCGCTACACCTTCTCCTCGACCAAGCACGGACGTCACGCCGTCATCGCCATCACCATCACCCGCTCCTCCCAATGTCTACAAGCTTATAAATCCCTTCAAACGTTCTCGTTCTTCCCTAGCAGCAGATAATAGGTCTTCCCCTTTGGCATCGCCGTCATCGATGCCTCAGCCTCTGTCTCACGATGATGTCACTCCCAAGCGAAAACCCTCTAAGCTCTCACCGAATATGATCTCGAAAGAACGACCTCATTCATTGTCAAGTAATAGTACTGCACCCAATGCCGGTAGCATGAAGAAGGCTGACAGCCAGTCCAGCCGTCAAGAACCAGGCCGTAAATCCTTCTTTTCGATAGTTGAGCCTGATACAGATACAATTCCACAACTTGGTCCGCCAGTTCCCGACAAGAAACCATTTTATGCCCATGGTATGACCGCCACTCTCAATGATCGTATGGACAGTTCATCACGCCACATCCCGGGCACAGTGCCCAACGAACCTGACCGTCACAAAAAACGGGCAGCAGAGAAACCATCAGGCTGCACTGTTCAGTGACTCTTCTCTCACATCTACTGTCATCCTCGCCTGCACCGATCATCCGAACATAGCATGATTCAGATACCGTCATGGACACTGTACCACTAAAGTCCTTAGTGCTTTTACCCATTTATTACTGATCACTACCATACTGTTCATTAAGACGTATCTTAATATATATTCTATTTTAGCACTTATAGCCTGGTGCAGTATCTAATCAGCAACCACGTCAAGTTCAGTGTCCTGTGAGCAAAAATAATGCGCCCCCTTACCTAGCCCGTAAACTGATTCGACCTTCTTAGGATATATCCGCTGACATAATCTCACCGTGCGGCGCCGGTATCTGCCCAGGTTCGGGTCGCTCCGTCGTCCAGCGCCGTTCAATGGATACCAACTTCAAGGCAACACTAACCTTGTACCACCTTGTTTGGATGGCAACGATGTCAGGGCTCTTTGCATTGCAATATATTAGCATGAAAGTCCAGAACGACGATGGTCGACGGACTCCTGGCATATAAAGGGACACTTTCGGAGATTACTGAAGGTGGGCATTCCTCGATTTTGGTCCTCTCTGTAATACACTTCATTGAAATTCTTTTACTATTGAATTGCACTATTACAGCGCTGGCAATACAAACTTCCAGACCGAACTGGATCAGTCTGGATGTGACAACCACACCCCGGGGTTACATGTCCATTGCCGTTTCGCGGCCTGATCCATTTATGTCACTCACTCTGAGGGCCAATGAAACTCGCCCTCAAGGTCATTAGGTATGTTCCACTTATCTAGCCATATATTGACTGAACGTGCAAAGCCCTCAACAACCCAGCTGAATTCCCTACTCAGCGTCAGCGCTACCCTTCACCTTCCCCTGTCACAAGTAGTTCACAACTCACTCGGCGTGAATTCGACCAAAATGCCATACCATTGCCAGTCCCGTCCTCCGTCCGCTTTCCGACGGTGCTGATCCAGACTAACTGTTGTCGGGATGAGCGCCAAAATATGTTGCAGACTAATTTGATGTATTGTAGAATTTCGCGAAGCCGGACGTGAGCATGAATGTGAATGTTTCCACGTCAAAGCCCATGGTCTTAATGATGACTCAATCGTTTTTGGTTTACAGATAGTACCACGGGGTACTCATCCGTGGATTTGGAAGGAGCTGAGTCGTTGTGGTTGACGTCTATGGATATATTCTTTTCGAGTCTCACCACAATGAGTGTAGATTCTTCTTCGTCGATTATCTCTATCAGCGTTTGAGACTGATATATGATATCATCCATCATATGCATGACCAATGACTTACGTATGGTTTGGTTTTCGTGTAGGATGTAATTTGGAAATTGTTTTTCAAAGTCCGGCATATAACAATCCGACGGGTTTACTCTCAGTCCTGAGCTCGGCGGTACATTTAGCATGGAATGTAGTGTGTGTCACTTTGATTTAACTTTGCATGCTCATCATTTTATCTGGCTTAGGTACCTAAGTACTTCAAGGACCAATCAAAAACTATGACAGCAGCCACATCATGATAATATGCCGAGAAGCGAGCCGCAGTGCTGGCACAACTTCTATATCTTCGAACCATTAGAGAGAATGGCTATCACCCTCCCAAAGGTCTGGTCAGGTGAGAATAGTTTTGAACCGGCCTAACCCGGACATTCCTGTTGGTAGGTTCGATTTGCGAGAAACGGAAATTGGTTGGAGAGTAGAGACAACAACATGAAAATTCACAGAATCACTCCTGCCAGCACTCATCAAATATAATTTCAACACTTAATAGCGTCATCGTGTATCAATCATGAGTCATGAGTCATGACCCGCATTCCCGAACGTGATTTGCACTTGGCATAGTACCAACTTCAAGCTTTGGGTGCCACTGCGACTGATCCGGTCTACTTGGAGCTGAAGCACCTGCAGACATGCCCAGTTCCGAGTTGCGATGAGGCCACCTCGAACACAGCCGCTCGTCGGTCCGGTCTTACCGTGTATCAATGGTCTGGCAGTTGAAACATAGAGAAGTCGACTTGTCAATCGACGGAGCAATCTCGATCAATTTGTACCTGAGGTCCTTCTGTCATTTTTTGACAAGGGGTCGTGGAAACACTGGAAGTTTAAACTCCATCATATATTAAAGGTAGGTTCAAAAAATCACAATAACTGGTATCGTCTTGACTTTCCATCATGCGGGTTTTTGTGCTAAGCTGTGTCGTTGCATTGCTTTTCTCCGTCTGTAGTTCAGCTGCAGCAATCACGAATGCACAGCGACTAGCTCGTGGTCTGCCACCTTTGCCTCCCAAGTTTGGTCGCGCTCTGCCAGGCTATGCAAGGACGCCGACAGTAGCTGGTACTTCTGAACCAATATCTCAAAACACTATAAACTAATATGTCGGTGCAGCAGAGAACTCATCCCCGTCGTCCGCTCCGCATAAGACGTGAGTCCGTTGAAAATTTCACTGGAAGTTTGTCTCAACCCTTTCAGATTTACTGGTCGGATCCTGGTTAAGGGCCACAATGGCAAACAGTTGGGACACCTATCTAACCGGGCCTCAGGAATGTAAGAACCCCCGCCGACTTGAGTGTTCCTCCTATTGAAAAATGTGCTGAGCTTGTGACTAGAAATGGCGTAAACTTTGGTGCCTCAAGCGCGGACCTGCACGTGTCGTTCACCTCTTCTCGATTTGAACATGGGCTTATCGACATACAGGCCGTCGTACGGTCCTCCTCGTTCTTTTGTTTTCTAAAATTCACGAAGCTTTTGGCAGGACGCCCATGGGCATTCCTATATCGGGACAACGAGCAACGCCGTCCTCGCCACTGGCTCTTCAACGTTGGTATTTTCACAAAAAAAACTTGAATACTAGACACTGATTTTGCTCCAACAGATTCGTCAGCTTTGGCAAAGTCATCAAAAGTGAGCCTGCACGATTGTCACGAATTGAATGTTAATAACAAATCGTTCATAGCACCCGCGCATTCCCCACCTGTCCCTGTGGGCAAGCATCATGCGGACGAGTCAGCTATTTGGACATTCGATAGCAGAAGTCATGAACTGAATGGTGGGCCATCTCTATGTCCGAGTCTACTTATCATTGACATGTCTAAAGTGCACTATGTAAATCCCAACGGTCACGGGGCAAAGACGACTATCGCTTATAACAGTCATGACAACACGATATTCTTTGTCGGCGACATCGGTGCCTATAATGCTGCCCATCCTGGTGGCCACGTTTCACCTATTGTCAGTCTGCTCAACTTTCTGCCCCGAACTCGCCGATTCACCGATTTACAGACATTTTATATTGATTTGACGGATGACAGTATAACGGATAAATGATCCAGAAATGTTTTCCCTCTTTCCTCTCTTTTGACATTCCCTTCATTTTCCATGTCGCTCTTTTGATTTCAGTTCAAATCGTGGGTTCACCAGATCTCTCGTTCGGAGTTTGAAAACTGCTGGTCTTTAGATTCCTGACACTTACATATCCCTTATTCCTAACTTGTAGTAGCTGCATATGCTCGATACATCTGGAATACATACCTAGACTGTTGTTACTTTGAGTTTATTTGCCAAAGGACTGAGTTCAAAATCAAATAAATATTTAGAGAGCAATAAATTATAATATAAAATTTAAGGAGTCTCAGGCGCTGTTTATTCTGGGAATGCGAGCGACCGCACAGCTTCAATCCAGGATGCTGCGGCATCGGGGAACTTGGTATTACACGACGGATTAGCGACATTCATCTGACAGGTTAACTGAGCTTACCTCCCACACCATAACACCAGCATCTGGAGACTTTGGTTAGCTCCTGCTGAACAGCACGTGGAACATTAAACGCACCCCATCCTTGCTCGTAGGCCATCTCCACACACTGGGCGAGTAAGGTGGTGTTCATATAGCCATTGGTCGCATCCGCAGTGGTGGCTGGCTTGCCGATCACCAACTTGTCTAAAGATACTCCTGCTGCTGCAATCTGGAACACTGAAGTGTCTGGCCACGCCGTTGACGATTCTGTAATAAGGCCAGTACACGTTGTGTACTCAGTTGTGCCCTCTAGTATTGCCAGTCAATAATTAGCAAAGAGACAGGACTGCGTGGCTTACGATTGTAGAACTGTATAAAACCGGAAAATCTGTCAGCATCATGAAATTACCCATCGTCAAAAAATGCTTGCCTGAACATTGTACTGTAAGGTTGCGAATGAGCTCACGAAAAATTACACTGGTTTTCTCACTTACCCAGTCAATTAACGACCCAACATTTGCGTTGACCGTCAAATAAGCACCACTGGTGTACGATGCGGAGAACCTATGAACAGGGAGATAAATTCGGACGGTTCGCATAAATACGATTGATTCAAATACCATGGAGCAACAGCTAGATGAAGGCCGAAACTTAGTCAGGTCCAATAACTGGATTTTAAGGCAAACTCACGTGCGTGGGTTAAAATGTATTGACCTGCGGCATGCTGTCAGTACGTCCTCGTCACCAATAATGGAACCAGTAAACATACCTTGTGGAAGCGCTGCACGAAGGACTTGGGTGAAAGTGGTCAACCAATCTTCTGCAGATCCATTCTGAGCATTCATGGCGTCGAAATCCTGTTACAAAGCCAATATTCAGTCGTGAACTAATGTACATCAAGAGAAACCCACTTCGTAGTCAATATCAACGCCGTCAAGATCATATTCCAACACGAAAGCCGCGAGATCATTGGCTATGGTTGTAGGATCATATCCGTCAGTCGTAGGCGTATCCGTGGACCCGAAAGCAGATACAATAAGAGAAATCCCGGCATCGTGGTATGTTGTCACGTAAGATGCTCGTGTGGCATTGTCAAGCTCAACCCACTCTTCAGCCTGATCAACTGGGCCGGAAGTAAGCCAGAACGAGAGGGCACTGAATAAAGTTAGACTGCGACTCTGAAATACTCATGTTTGTCACCAAGACTTACAAGACGTTGTACCCCTGAATCCCAAATAACAAAAATAATCACTACGTGATAATGAAGTCATTAACGAATACATACTGTGATTTCGCTGATAGCAGGAGGACCGGTCTCACCAGAGACCCACTCATCGCTGTAAATGACGAAGTGGGGGGCCGCAGGTGTTGCACGGGCTGAAAGTGCCGTGCTCATAAGAGGCGCAGACATCACGCCGCCGATGGCTGCGAAGACGCTGAGAAGACTCGAGAGTATGAAAGACACCATGATGAGAGTGGGGTAGAATGAGGTACCGGGTAGGCATTTATACCCTTCACCGAGACCTCATTCTAGAGGTTAGTGTAGCATGATGCGACCTTCAATGGCACATGCACCAGAGATCCCGTACTACTAATAAAAGAAGCAAGTGTCATCATCAAAACGAAAACCAGGGGGTGGCTGTATATTGCATGGAATACCGCCAGACGATTTGTCGATAAAGTGAGACCGCTTTGGCGGGAGGTGGCACATGGAAAGACTCGAAATGATTACCAGCAGCATCACCCTTTGCCCGCAAGGTTCCCAAGACAAAGGATGGGTCAGGCGCGGGATCTCCGTATTGGGAATACGGGCGGTCGATGCCAAAGGTCGCAAGAATGGTGAGCATGCGGATTCAGAAAAACATGCGAGGATATCAGGTACGTGCGAGAATTGAAAAAATGTGCCGCATGTGTTCCAGAGGTATTCGAGATTGCATATTATTGAGCAAGAGAGATAATTGCTCAGAAGCACGGATTTGGAATGTCAAAATTGAACGAGTTTGCATGTGGAAGCAATTTGTGGCGAAAGCAATTTGTGGGATAGGCTCCAGGGTAAAGGGAGGAACTGGAACCTCTTGTGGAAGGATTGTAATTGGATATTGAGCAAGAAAGCTTGAGTGTGAGCTATGGAGCTGTAGGTTAACTTGGCGTTGTGGGATGAACAAAGTGTCATAGACCCCCTCTATTGTTGGGACCTTGAATATACACCGAGTATGCGCTGAATGTTATTTTAGCGATCATTGATGCTTCAGAGTAGCACTTCCATGCTTGCATGTGCGCCTCGATAGTAGCTGTATCGGCGCCCAGTGATCACTGTGCCGCGGTAAGAACAATAGAACTTCAAACTTCTGGCTTACTGTCAACAAAAGTTTCGGAGCGCAAACAGCAGATACAGACAGGCTGTCAAAAATATTGACATCGTTCGCCGCTTTGCCGAGAGATCTCCTGCATGTATATGGCAGAATTAGCCTGAAAAGGGGGCAGCGAGACACGCGTCGAAGAATCGTCGCGTGTGACTCTGTTCTCTGAATTCTCAGCAGTTCTGCAACAAAGCCAAGTTTTAGAAATGTGGAAATGGAGAGGACTGTGAGAGAGGTTAGAGAGCATAATAAGACTTTGCACCAGATGGTACTAGCTGGCAACTTGAGCTGTATCTCGATTATGAAAAAAGGGGTATGTGACACAAGCCGACACAAGGCGAAAAGGTGTAGGTTAGGCTGCCAGCCACTCAACACAGTCCGTTCCACATGCACGTACGCTTAATTGGAACCCATGGACCGTCAGAAGTGACATGTGAAGCTTTGAAACATCAGCACCTGATAAGACAAACCAAAGGCACTTACTACAACGATCCTAACTCGTGCCCAGCTGGCCCCTTCTGGCAGTGTATGCAGTGCCTGTATGATAATCTGCACAAACTTGATAATCGGTAAGCTTGCGATCGTCGTCAAAGTCCAGCGCATATGTAAATATCTCGTCCCAGCTCCGCTTTGTCACTACTCAACTAGATGGATTTTGCTCCGCCTTCCACCGATATTTATGAACGACGTATTCCGAAAACTCCATCGGATCCACTCAAAGCTCAAAGCCGAGGCAATGTTTTAGAATGTCCGACAAGGTGACGACCCAGAAATGGGAAAGAACGGGTAAACCATGTTCATATGCCAAGCACTGGTAAAATGTATCATGAGAGTGACTGGATTCCCCTTGGATGCGAATTAAATGCATATATGCATAAGGCATGAAGCAAGTTGTGGCATCGCCGATATGTATTACTCCCACACTTCTTACCATCAACACGTTTCCACGCTCCGTGGCACCGCTGACGCGCCAGTTCCCGACCGACCCGCCGCACTACACCTACAACATTTGTCCCAGGGGCTAACCCATTGCCCAGAGATTTCCTGAAGGCCCCAAGTACTGGTACACTTCTCTATGACCGTAATACCAATTCTCCTCAAGCATGGCCCACCTTTGAACCTCCCGACATTTGTTCCTCAATGCTTGGTGTTGCAAATGATCATGGTTTGTCTCTTTTTGCACGCTGTTGTATTTTATACTGCTTACTCGTAGGCTCTCTGTTTTGTTCTTCTGTGAGCATTGGCTTATTCTTTCCCGCAGTGTGTGACCAATGCTCTGATGTGATATCTGTTATTGCATTCACTGCATGAATCGTTTGCTTGCTGGTTTCCGGCACAGCCGCTCAGCTGTTATCGCAAAATGTTTCGGTTTGACAGCCCCCCCCCCTTCTGATTCTGTGGCTCCTGGTAGCAATGTTCGTCGCACGAAATGCACTACGTTGGCGCTACCTGCAGCATTTTCTCGATATTCGTGAACGATTTGGGCTTTGGTCGATGCTGTTTGGAACAGTTGGCTGATGCTTTGTGCCTCAGATTGTGCGTGCCTGCCGAGTCTGCCCGCTCGGCCGCTCTATGTCAATCTTCCATATATGGATAGCTCTACCTTGGTCTTGATGTCTTGGTCGTCCGCCTTTCTATTGACATGTTACCTGAGGCTATCAAAATGTTTACCAGCACAAGGTCGTCCTGTTGTCTATCCTCGTTCTCATACTGGAACCGGTAATGGATTGGTGTTTTACATTCGGGAACGCCTTTGGTTTTTGCAGTCAGCCGGCTCTCAAATTGTCGGCGGTCATTTCGCAAGCGAAGACAAGATCACTGCGGAATAAAAGGGGCCTGCAATACATGGTTGTGAAACCGCATGACGGCCAGTTTCCCACGGATAGATTTGTAGAGAACAGCACGTTGGCTGCAGAACCCTCCCCCCCCCCCCCCCCACCACCCACCCCACCCACTTGTCGCGAGAGTCCTTGAAACATTGTACGCTTTTGGGAGAACCGACGGGGCGCACCGCCAACCAATATTCACGTTCCCCAGTACCGCCATCCCAAGTGGCAATTATGTAACGGCAATACTACGTGTCAGGCAGCGAGCTCGCTATCTCTCACTCATTTCTGCATTTTTTTAAAAAAAATTCCAGAAGGAAGACAGCTGCGCTGAAGCGGCCATTTGATCTGTGTTGGACTTGTCTCACGCTTACATACCTGGCTTGTACTGACTTGAACTTTGAGTTTGTATGTGTTCCACGCATCTGGAGTGAACACATAGACTATTACTTTGAGATAATTATTACACGAGGGATATTCCCTGAAAACCGAACTCAAGATCTCACTTTAATTATGACATAAATGACAGCGAGAGAGTGGGTAATTACTAATCACAGGCGCTACTTATCCTGGGAATGCGAGCGACCGCGCAGCTTGAATCCAGGATGCTGCGGCGTCGGGAAACTTATCACACGACGGATTAGCATCATTCGTCTGGCAAGTTAACTCGGCTCACCTCCCACACCACAACGCCAGCATCTGGAAGCTACCCCGGCTGAATAGCATGCGGGATATTGTGCGCACCCCATCCTCGCTGATAGGCAATGTACACACACTGCGCGAGTAGGGTGGTGTTCATATAGCCACCTCACTGGTGGCTGGCTTTCCGATCACCAACTCGTCTTCCACCACGTCGAAGACGTTTCTTGAGGGTTCTCAAGACTAAAGATGGGTCAGACGCAGGATCTCCGTCTTGGGAACTTCCGATTAATTGATATCGAAAGTCGTCAGAGTAGTGAGCAAGATGGGGTGGCAGTTTCAGAAATAAATCCAAGGTGTTAGGTACATGCATACCAGAATTACAAAATTCCCTGCACGCTGTTAGGCATCCGAGGTTATAATTAAGCAAGAGAGATGATGCTGACGAAGATTTTCGCTCGGAAGGACGTATTTGGAATGCCAAAATTGAATGAGTGTGCATACGGAAGCAATTCGTGACGAATGTAGAGGTCGGAGTGGACGACGGGATTTCCTGGGACTCTTGAAGGGGATTTGTAACAGAGGAGCCTTGCGCGGAAAATGTCACCGTTGACCGCAAGATATCAAGTTATGTGATAGCGTTATGGGATGTCAGAAGCGACATCCTAGGTCGCCTCTAGTTTTGACTCGGAGACCTTGACATACACCGGGTTTGCCCTGAATTTTATGTTAGCGGATCGTGCATGTTTCAGAATAGCACTTCCGTACTCCACGTGTGGACGTTGGTAGTGACTGTATCAGCGTCTAGTGGTCACCGTGCCTCGGTCAAAACGATACAACTTCAGACTTGTGGCTTACTGTCGATATAATTTCGGAGCACAGATAGGCTTTAAAAATATTGACATGTTCTGCCGATAGATCCCCTGCATACATATAGCAGGACGATTGAAAAAGGCGACAAAGCGAGTACGCATCGAAAGATCGTCGCATGTGACTCCGCCCTTTAAAAAAGGGGTTTTTTTTTTGGTAGCTCTGCAACTAAATAGATTTCAGGAATGCGAAAATGGAAACAAAGCAAAAGCCTGAGAGCTTAGAAGGGCAACGATAAGACTTGGGACCGGATCATGGTAGTACTAGGTGGCAATTTGAACTGTATCTCGATTCTGACGAAGTGGTAGGTGAGACAAGGCGGAAAAGGTGTAGCCAGGTTTTACCAATCGGATGTACACGGTCAGTCGCACATGCACGTACGGCGCTTAGTTAGATCCCGTGGGCGCATACGTCAGATGTGACATGTGAAACTTCTGAACATCAGCGCTCAGCACCCTGATTACAGAAATCGAAAGCACTTACTTCAAGTTACTTGCAATCCTAGCCCGTGCTCAGCTGACCTTTGCTAGCAAGGTATGCAGCACCTGTATCTGCCCAAACATGATAATCTGTGACCTTGCAATCGTCGTCAAAGTCCAGCACATATGTAAATATCTCGTCCCAGCTCTGCTCTGAGCTCAACCAGGTGAATCTTGCTCGGCCCTTCACCGAAACTTTCTGGACTTCTGCATCGACGATATACTCTGAAAACTCCATTCTATCAAAACTCAAAGTCGAGGCTATAGTTTTGAAGTAATCTCGTACTCCATCACGTCCGACGAAGTAACGTCCCAGAAATGGAGCAAGAATAGGTAAACCATGTTCATATGCTACGCATTGGTGTGTCGTAGAGAAATGTGTCATAAGAGCGTCTGGATCTTTCTTGGATGCGAAATCAGTGCATAAGGATTTGGCAGCGTGAAGCAAGTTGTCTCTGGTTATGCGCATCGTATTATTCGGATGATGGTTAAACGTAAACGTTGGAGCACGCTGCTTAGCAAAGACAGCCTCGAACTCACGGACATGTGAATTCGGACGACGGAGGTTCCTTTCTTTCACCCTCATTCACCTTTTAGGATTCTCACTGGCCTCTAATATGCTGAGCGACACGCTGATACCAGTGCCAGAGGAGGTTCTGAGACACCCTAGAAACAAACACAGCAGTACCCTCTCGTGAGCAGGCTACATAGAATACTTGCGACCATATGGTCGGGGGTGGCTAATGAACGCCAGGAATCACGCACAACCTACTTGCAGTCACAACATAGAGGAAGCAGTAAAGAGTACATCAAAGCGAATACTGCAGTACGAAAGTCAGATGCAAGAACTCAGTGTCAGTCTCTCCAAGTGCCCCGCTCAACGTATTGACGCTTCCACCTGCATCTAGACTAAGCTTACAGAAGGCTTGAGCAACTTTCGAGCTATGGACGGCTTGATGCAGGGCTCTCTCGATGAACTAAAGGTCAGCGATTCTCTCGTTTCTCACAGTGACTGAAGACAATGACTTGACTCTCCGAGCAGAGAGATACACAGCATGCTAAGCATGCACTCGAAGAACATATACCGTGCATCCACGAGGAACTTCACAACTCTCTTGTCTCCCTGCAGGAATTGTCACATACACTTCCACAAATTCAATCACATGTAGCTGAAATACGACGTTTATACGATTCTGGTCGAGAGAAAGTAAGAGATCATCATAGTTCTTCCCATCGAAGATTCGACTTACCAGTAAGGATAGGCCAAGACTCTCGTGACAGACCTCAGTTGGTTGAACACCGAATGGCACGAGCGTTGGCGACTTATCATCTTCACGAATCACTCCCCAGTTTCGAGGTGGTGGACTGCCACAATGCGCGTCTTGTTTGCTGCAACTTTTATAACATTTGGATGGATTGCTTGGGTGGCAATTGCGGGTGCCTATACAGCTCATAGACAAAGGCTTGTCTGGGGGGAGAGGCTGATGTCTTAGATTCGCGCTTTTCTCCGCCTCCTAATTGTAAGTAAATATTCAATTGCTATACCGGCCTCTTTTGGTGACCTGCCAACCTGTAGCATTATGTGCGATGGGATGTGCAACAGCATGTATTTAAGTTGTGGAACCTCTTCCTACGAATCCAAGGGTCTCCTGACCCAAAACAGATAGTTGCATTCCACGGCACCCCAGGGCGTAGAAGAGCGAGGCATCAGCTTCCATTCTCCACTCCATGGAATATACACTATTCCTCGCACATCCGCTTCCAATCGTGTGGGTAGACCATGAGCATACGTACGTGTTATCCAAGGTCTGGGAGATGCATCAGAGCCGAAATCGCCGAAGTCTGTTGGATTGCTGGAGGAGGAAGGCGAGGACCGATAGGTTTGGAAGAACGATATAAGCTCGGACGGGTTGACGAATTTTGAGTACGTGTGAGTCCCCACAGCTACCTTGCGGAGGACATATTCGCCAGCCAAAATTGTAATAAAATAGGAGAGTGGCGTCCTCGCAATCGTGGAAAGGAAAAGATGGCCTCCAGGCTGATATGAAGCAAATGTTAGACCTGTATTTGACTAGGTGTCCAGAATGAGACTTACTTTCACCAACTGGGCACAAGCAGAAAGGAACGCCACCGGGTTATCTACGTGCTCAATAACTTCCATCGAGCATACGACGTCGAACCGCTTGGGTTCTTTGACAAGCTGCTCTGCAGAAGTATGACGGTATTCCAATGAATTGCCCGAAGAAGACAGCTGGGGATCACCACTAGCATGTGTCGAAGCTATCCCAATGTTGGATTCAGATGCATCGATGCCAATAGTTCGTGCTCCCAGCCTAGCGAGACTCTAGTCCAATTCGTTAAGTCGTATTGAGCTGAGACTGATGGCGAACCTCTGAGAGCAAACCACCTCCACAACCCACATCCAATACATCCATACCAGTCAGCACCGCGCATTTTGATTCCAACTCTCTCCTTGCATCCTCTCCTTGGTCTTCGTATGTGGCCTCAAGGATCTTTTCCCGGATGTAACGTACCCTTACAGGGTTCATTCGGTGCAACAGCGAAAACTCCCCTTGCTCATTCCACCATAGTGAGGAAAGCCGGGAAAAATGGGCAATCTCAGTTGCATTGACAGTCGAGGACGTTGCTGCTACCGACTGGAAGCATCGAGTGCTCAGGCAAAAGCGCAAGAGGCGTGTTGTCGGTCGGACAGCTGTAGACAACATGAAGGACTCAAGCTTGGAACGGTTCAAGTTCGGGAGCAATAGAAACTCGCTAGTCACTGACGCTATCTGCTCATCATGTCGCTAAGGCTTAAGTTTGATCGATTGATCAGGGAGGTGGCCCCGCCGGCACATTTCGAAATAATCCAAGTTGCATAAATGTGACTCAATACTACTGACAATTGCAGGCCTGCAGTCCGATTCCTGCCGACACGATGCGGCCAGACGCGTGCATAGCGCCGGGCCTGCATTTGTGACTCAAACTCGTATATGTGCGTAGACATCATTCTAGCTTTGCGTGTTCTTTACCTAACACTTGCACCTGTTCCTTATAATATCCGTGTCATTGGTACCTGGCAAATTTACTGGGACGATGTATTACATGTGGCACCAATGTGGCACAGTCGGTAGAACTCTTGAAGTATAAAACGCCGCTATCGACTCACTGACATACTGCGCATTCGATGACCATGTCTGTAGTAGTGTCAGCTACGCCGATCCACATCTCTGCACTTGGCAAGGCAGCAGAAAATAGAGTGCATTGTCTAGTGATAAGTGATAGTACGGTAGGCATAGAAATCTCTGCATGCGTGCTGTATGAGTATGCGATAATTACAAGAGATAATATACACCGTGTTCATGATCAAGCTTCATGCCTCAAGCTCGCAAGCTTCAGTTTCCTGACTCTTGCGTAAAGGCCCGCCAACTTGTTGCATCCGACCCGAACCCACGTTTTGAGAATCGTGTGGGTCTACATGAAGTAACTCGTCTCTTCCCATCTGTGCTAGATCCATGGACTGAGTCTGCTCTTCACCGTGACTACTATCCTGGCCACCTGTTTCGCCTAGGACTATGGCGTCCGAGTGTTGAGCATCTTCATCCCAGTGTCCACCGTCTCGGTATTTGCCGTGCCCGAGGGTATCGCCACGTCCAGCCATCAATCCTCTGCCTCGCCCCCTACCTCCTTGCCATCCACCTCCAGAACCTGCGGTTTGGGCACCCCAATTCGGATCCTGCCACTGACTAGCTTGCACAGCATTTGTCTGACCAGTGAATGCGACTACACCGCCCGTCATTACAAACTGCATGAGTTCTTCTTGAGACGGTGTATCGCCGTAAGTACTGTGCCACATCTTTCCCAATGCTTCCCACGATGAGGGTGCAGTGAAATCAAACGTTGTGATATCAAAATGATCAAGTCCTAGTTGCTGCAGCGCAGGCGCCGAACTCGGTTTACGAGGTTCGACTTTCTGTGTAGATGTACTGGCAGCTACCGAGGGCAACTGGTCTGATACAGGTACACGATTTTCGGGTGCCGCCGTACGGGCAGGGACTACAGATGGAACCATCGGAGGCTGGAGTTGAACATCGACTGATGCAGCTCTAGGAGGAGTGGCAGAAGACGGTCTAATATCTCGTCCAAACTCGTCTTTTCCCGCCTCAGGGAGTTTCGCTGAAATTTGATTTTGGGCTACATCTCTGATTGCTGCAGGTCTCTGAGGCGGACTATACGGTCGTGGCCGCTGCCCATTGAATCTGCGCGGGCTTCGGGAACGGCTAGTTCTTGGCCGTGAAGAAGAATTCCAATCCCTATCTTTGAAACGATCGTGGTCACGGTCATCCCATCTACCCCTACCCCGACCACGACCACGAAAACCACGCTGGAATCCCCCGCGTGTGTTGGAATCGTGGAATCCATCACGCTCTCTCCCATGATCAAATTGGCTGGAACGACCCTGCCAAGAATCTCTACCAGGATCATGCTGGGCGTGTGACTGTGAGGAAGAATAAGGTTGTGGGTGAATGTTTAAATGAGATGGAGGAGGACGCTGTGACGCAGACGGGAGTTGGACTGCAGACTGCGATGGAGTACCACCATTTGGGACGTTTGCTGTCAAAGCCAGTTGTTGCAACAACGCTAGGTGCCCAGTGAGGGGTGGGGGTGGGGCAGGCACAATGTTTGGTGGTGTTTGGCTAAATCGAGAGGTTCAGAAGAGCTCCAATTCACGACTTAAGTAAATACTTACATGCGTGGCTGCCCAGCGGCTTGTGCAGCTTGTCCAAGCAGGGCCAGAAGTGTGGATTGCACCGATTCTGGAAGAGGAGGCGTTGGACCCTGGGACGGGGTAACCGATGGAGTAATTATCGGCAATGCTTGAGTTTCGACTCGTGCGATGGGAGGCATTGGGTTTTTCACGGATTCTAACATAAAAAGCAGCCAAATCGTATTTCAGTGTAAATTCTCATTTCATTTGAGGCAGAGACGCCAGCAAAAATAGCTATTACACAAGCAGAAGAAATACTTAGCGGACACATGTTTGATTCGTGATATGCACCTTTTCGAGAGTCCATCATCTCCCTCAGCCGTGTCAAAACCGGCGAAGGAAAAGTATTTGATTTGGTCCATATATCCAGAACTTTCTTCGTCTTTTCCTGTTATTGGAGTAAGTAAGACCGCGTTGCATCCGACGTGGAGGAGAGAACAGCAAAATAACGTGGTGACAATACGCGTTAGTGGCAGTATTGGTACTCGAAGATATGAGCCAGTCAGTTGAGGGCACATTTACAGCAACATCAGGCTACGCAATCACGTTGCTTGGAGTACCATACAAAGTCACCGACGACATGGATGTCGCAGATATACGCCTGACCTGTGTTTGTGAAGTGGATCTACTCGTCGCTTACCTTCGCTTCCGCATTATCAAGCGCAATCATGTCCTGGAACAGACCATCTAAAACACCTTCAACTTTGAGTAGGAAGGTGGCAGCGTTTCCAGTCCTGGAATTCATGTCACCGGTGATACCGCGCTTTGTGGCATAACTTCGGGCAGCACGTGCTAAAGCATCAAACGCATAAAGACTTGACACCTTGGCAGTACTAGACAGTGACTTGTGAGTGCGATAAAGTATCGCAACAAGCTTAGTGTCGTGCTGTCAATGCAACAGTCTCAGTGAACAAGCCTTCAAGTATGACTTTGAGACGCACCTCCACGGACTTCAGTGCAATCTCAGTCAATTTGGTCATCTTGGAAGCTGACAGTCGTTTTGCATTAACGACATCTTTCAGCGTGTTCTCGAAATCCTGAAAGAGTATAAAAATAAAATGAACATCGTCGATGGGATAAAACGTTGGCACTAACTTCAAGGTGGTTCATCACTCCCAAAGCATCAGGCGCTCTGAAACAGTACTAGTGAGGTTAGCGAGAATGTTGATGGCAAACGGGTGTCCACTGTCGACTCGGAGCCTGGCTTTTGTTTGTTGATGTTGATGGCGCTTATGCACCTTGCGCTCATTTTCCCATCACCTCGGATGTCAACTAGAGCGAAAGCGACGCTGGCTGCGTCGCTCGCATTTTCCTCCTTCGTTATATGGGCAGTTCATTACCAGCAGTCAAGGGAGCGAGAGGTGATGACTACCGTTGCTTATTATTCCATCCCTGACATTATACCTAATAGGACATGTTCCAAGGTGTCATTCGTGATGACGTTCGTCGGCTAGAGAAAATGCGGCAGCGCGAAGCAGAGTTCCATGAATCCTCTCGCAAGCGAGAAATGTATGAACAAGTACAGAATGTCGTATCAAGTGACCAGTCAAAAAAGATTTGACCAACACATGTCCCTGGTCCCGAGACGGCCATAGGTTCCTGCCCGGAGGTATCGCATCGTTGCACTGGTCACCGGGTTGCATCCTTTTGGGTTACCCATAACATTCTGCGGCAATGCATATCCTTTTTTCAATCATAGGGGACTGAAATTAGAGTTAGTATCTCATCAGCTCCGTTTCACGGACCGACGTGCACTAATAAGTTAACTGCCTACATTCGTTGTCCTTATCAATTTGAAACCGCGGCCTGGTTCGCAGGCTACATTCCCACCTGCGGTGCTCTTGACTCTGATAATCTACCAGGTAGCATGGGCTCGTTGTATATCCGACGGGGCCAACAAGCAATCACTGTAGCGAGCTGTAAGAGGCTCTTCTCTCAGAATTTTGTGAGTGAATGGCACACGGTGATCCAATCCCTGATTCGCTACAATGTTTCCACAAACAAGTACATGATAAGGTACAAGATTTAGTACCCAAACCCAAACTACGTGAATATTCCACAATTACCACTAGCCACCATGTTCTAGTCTTGAATTTGCACCTTGATCGCACCTTGAGAAGGGTCTGCAGCGACATGGAAGGCAGAAACAGCATCCTCCAGTTTAAATCGATGCGTGACCAGAGGCTTCAAGTTGATCAAACCGCCAGCGACAAGGCGTATGGCTTTAGGGTACTGAACACATACGGTGAGCATATCGAGATTATTGCAGAAGGGAGCATATGTACCTGGTTAGCATATCTGTATTGGAAACTAACATCTATCTCATTGGCACTCAGGTGCATGAACGGGAACTGAAAGTATGACAAATTGAGTGTGAGAAAATTTTGGGCTTTTACATACCACTTGTTCGTTCTTGCCGACGCCAATGATGAACACCTTTCCACCAAATTGCATTGCCTGGGTACCATCCAGCATAAGCAAAGACTCTTGACAGCATAGACAACTGCAGCGTTTCTTACATGTACTGCAGTATGCACACTGCTCTCCACACCGCTGCACTCAATCGCAACTTTCACAGGGCCATCAGCGGCGGCTTTGATCTTTTGGGCCGCGTCCTTTGGCGTCAAACCACGTTCGATCAGTACCGTACGCACACTAGGAACGAGCTTCTTTGCAAAGTCGAGGCGGCTCTGGAACAGATCGGTGATTACAATGGGCTCGGCGCCTGCAGCACGTGCCGAAAGAAGAGAAACGAGACCGATCGGTCCAGCGCCACTGAAAGACAATCAATTATAGGTCATAACATGAAATCCTGAATGCAAACACACCAGATCAAAGTGGGGTCACCAAGGCGGAGACCAGCACGCTCGACGCCCGCGAGAGCTACAGCCAGAGGCTCGCAAAGAGAACCTTCTTCGAAGGAAAGGGAATCAGGCAAACGGTGCAGCCACTCAGCAGGGTGCAAGTGATAGCGAGTTAGGGTTCCTAGAAGGCAGCTAAGCATCAATAAAAGTTGAATGTTTGGATATTCCTACCATGGAAAGGAGGAGTGGAGAAGAAGACAACATCAGGACCTGTAAGGAGATACCTCGTCACGGACTGTTTGATGATGGGTTAAAGTGGACACGTACAAGCGTTATACCTACCGACCCTGCAATATTCACAAGAAGGTTTCGAGCAGGGCACGCCGGCCTCGATTGCAACGCGGTCCCCTAGGTAGATGAGTTAGCCCTTTACATCATCAGCATGCTGGGATAGGTAGCTTACCTACTTTCCACTGAGTTACGCCCTCACCTATTTCAATGACCTCTCCTGCAGACTCATGTCCGGAACCACACTGTACTTGAGATTAGATGTTATTTTCAGCGATTCGCAATGACTGAGCCAAACCTCGTCAGTCACAACCATGGAATCACCAACGCGTCCATGCTTCCAGAAATGAACGTCACTTCTGATCACCGCAGATCGCATTAACACAACGTTCGAGATGTTGGAATGCAAAAACAAACCCGCAGATCCCAGTTGCACGGACGTGCACCAGCACTTGCCCAGGCCCTGGCGTTGGGCGGGGCTTTTCCACGAGGTGAATTTCATGATTGGGGTTATAGAATGCCGCGATGTTTGCATCCGAGGCAGGGGCCTCTCCAGGTGCGAGGACGCGGAAGGAAGGGTCGTCGAGGACCTTCCGAGGACTGTAAGTTTCTGCGTAGCCACCGTCAGGCATCGTGATCTGGATGGGAATTAGATGATGAAGATGATCTTTGGGAATCAGAATTTATGGCGATTGCATGGTGGCATCTGAGATTTATATGCAGCCTCAAACATGGTCCATTATGGCAAGATTATGGTCAGCAGGCAAAGCAGCACGAAACACACGCGACACGGTTCCGGTCCGAAGGCAATGAGGTCCGCATCGAGTTAGCCTTATTGTTCTCACCAAGCGAATTACGACGACGGAGAGTTGATTGCCAGCTGATATACAAATGCTGTCTGCAACAAAACGAATCCAATGTTCAAGATTACACAAACCCAGTGCTTCTATGGTATCGAAAGGGTATCGATCCAGGGCGGGCGAGCGAGCGGCGGAGCAGAAGATCCAATGGTACAGGTATGTCATATTATTAAAGAGGCAGCAACAAAGCGCGTGCATTCCAATCACGGAGCTTGTCCGCCAGTGAAGCGCTTGAACGTGAACCTATATCAGGATAGAGTCAGGGGTGTTAGCCGTGAATCCAATAGACATGACTTACCCCAAGAAAGCAAGATCTTTGTCAGATCCGACTTGTTCAACAACTTCGAGCTGTTCAGGAAGGTTACCGAGCTCATCAGTAGGGAAGTATGTGGTATCTGTAATCGATGATAACGCGGGCACGAAAGGCGGTGCGATATAACGTAGATTATCCCAGTCGGCTCCATAAAAGAAGGGATGGTTCTTGATTTCATTGACCCCCAGACGGGTGTTCGCCCACGTCATCATGCTAAAGCGAAATGAGTACAACGCCTTTGTTTGTACGTGAGCAGCAGAGTCGCACCTGCGAACCAGATGCTCAGCTTCCTGGCTAAGGTGGACTTCCTCCGGGAAGTATAGGTAGTTCGGCCATTCGATAATTTTCTTGTATGTATCACTTGGATTTTCAGAGCAGAATGGCGCGTATCCAACCACACACTCAAAAAAGATTGCACCCAACGACCACCAATCACATTCCTTGCCATAACCTTTTAGCATGAACACCTCTGGCGCAATATAATCCGGCGTTCCTACAAAGAGCTTGAGCGGGGCTTAAAGATTCATCATTTGGTCACTTACCGACAGTGGAGTATGCCTGGTAATACAAGAATCAGTATCGATGTGTAGTGGACTACAAAGAGACTAACCAGTTTTCGTCGGTTGGCTTTCCAAGTAGCAATTTGCTCGCGACTCATTGTAAGGTGGATAGCATTGACCTGGACGCTATTTCGGGCATGATCCTTTTGTTTGTCTTGATCTATCAAACGCTTGTAGAAATCTCCATCTGTAGTCTTGTGCAGACCAGTCGAGAGACCAAAATCAGACAGCTTTAAATGCCCGTTCTTGTCTATCAAAATGTTATCGGGTTTGATGTCCCTAGAACGAAAATTTATATGCTTATCATGAACATGGCATGTTATTACGCACCGATGAATGTAGCCGAGGTCATGAACAGCCTCAATAGCAAGAATGCACTCCGCCATGTAGAACCGCGTCACATCTTCAGAGAAAACATCGTATTTCATGAGCATGGTCATTAAGTCGCCTCCAGGAAGAAACTCCATGATGAGATATAAGTATAGTGGATCCTGGAAGGAATAAAAGAGTTGAACGACCCAGGGTGATGTAGATTCAGCCAGCAAGTCACGCTCCGCGCGAATATGAGCAAGCTATAGGACCATTTCATCAGCACAAAGCAAGAAGATGGCTTGTGCATACAGACCTGATCTCGCTTTAACATCTCAGCCTTTTGGAGGGTCTTCATGGCATAGACTTTCCCGGTGTCTACTTTCTGAACCAATCTTACCTACGTGTTAATCAAGTGGTGAGCTCAGGGAGAAATTCAGTGAATAGCCTGGCATACCTCACCAAACGCACCCTTCCCAATGACTTTGATTGTGCGAAAGTCCGCGAGACGAATCTTTGTCCGACGTAATCGTAGATGTTGTGACTCCAGCTTGCGGTATTTGCGAATTTCGCGTTCTTTCGACTCATTAGGTATCATGGCTTGATTAAGTCTGTGCTCCAGTTCTGTGCGCCTGTAAGTGTCGTCAGTGACCGTTAACTGAGGAAACGAACAAGCGACCGGCTGGCGCACCTCCCATTGCGTTCGATCGCGGCATCGACAGCAAGCTTGTAGTAAGATTCAAGCTTTAGCTTTGCAGCAGTTGCACGAGATACGGCATCAGATGAAAAGCTATCAGTGCTCCGCTCGAAATAAACGTAGTCATCGCCTTTCCTCTTGCTCGTTGAATTCGTGGAAGCAGGAGAACTAGACCGTTGCTGGCCTGATGGTGATGCGGAAAGTTGGGTAGACTGGGTAGAGCTGCCACCGCTGGTGTTCGAGCTTGCTGAAGCTACGGTCTCTTCGGACTGGCGTTGGCTCATGATGGTTCAAAGGAAAGCGAAGATACAATCGCTGTAGCTAAATTGTCGTGGTGGAAAAATCAAACACAACGAAATGGAGAACGTAAAAGATGTCTCAGAAAACCGAGTTTGTGTTGTTATGGAAGGTATACAAACTTCCAATGATTAAATTTAGTCTGCATGAGAGCAAAACTATATAATTATGTACAGCGAAAAACACACTAAACAAGGCCCAGATGACTCAATTTAAGGTGCTAGCAGCTACTGGTCCAAGCAGCGTTAGACTCGGAAACACAAAAAGGTACTTGTCATTGTGTGATTCAGACAGGTAGTGTGTTGGCTGTGAAAACACATTTCTATAGAACTGTTGCTACTACGAAAAACTGCACGTGGCTTCTGCGCGTGAGGGTGAGATGAGTGTGCGCTGGAGTAGGATAGCCCCAATTAGTAGTGGTAGCTGTTGTTTGGATCCAAAGCTCTTGCCAAACAACACTAGAATCTCAACAGACTCGTCCAAACCTATTCTTTGCCAGAACCACGTGTCAGGCCCTTCTGTTCCATTATGTCAGAGCTGACATACGATTCGTTGATGGATGATGGAAACTATCTGGGCTCTGAGCGGGCCCGGATGGAGAACAAGGTCATCCTCGATGAGCTCGAGCGAAAGAAGAAGGCGCGCAACTTAGCTGTACCAACGGACGACAATAAGGTCAAAGCGAGACTGCGAGAAATTGGTGAACCTATCACACTTTTTGGTGAACGAGTGAGTTTTACAACAGTATAAATTCATCATGTGAGATTGACTGTAATATTAGGCAGCAGATCGACGAGACCGACTGATATATGTCCTTTCACAAATAAATGCCGCAAGGGGTGATGACCACCCAATCGAAGAGGCATCCTCTGAAGAAAGCGAGGAAGAAGGGGTATGTAGCTCCTAGCTCCTACGTGATGGAGCTATTGCTGATCCAGTTTACAGGAGGAGTTTTACACCGAAGGCTCCCTAGAGCTTCTTCAAGCTCGAAGGAATCTCGCAGAATTTTCTCTGCCCAGGTTGGATTTTACCTGCCGATAGGTGATTTCAGTAAGGTGCTTACAATATCTCTTTCATGTCCTTTGCAGAGCTCAAAAGCGCGTCGCTCAGCAGCGAATAGACAGCAAAATACCATTAGGGCGCATAATCGACATACGGAAGAAGGTTTTCGCAGGGGTCAAGGTAAATGATGCGGAACTATAAGGACGTCGTTGTTCATGAGCACCCGCAGCGTTTTAGCAATATTGGTTCACAAATTGGCGACGAGCGCCCGATATCGCAAGTGCGTTTTGCACCCAATAATAAAATTCTAGCTACTGGTAGCTGGTCCGGCACCGTCAAGTTGTGGAATGTACCTGCATGCACAACTATACGCACACTCAGAGGTGAATATCCAAACTATAATAGTGCTTTCTTGTGCTGATCATAACCTCAGGTCATGGTGATCGTGTTGGTGGTGTTGCGTGGCATCCGCAAGCAACATTAACTCAAGAAGAAGGATTAGTGAACCTGGTGTCGGGTGCAGGAGATATGTGTGTCAATCTATGGTCTTTGAATAGGTGAATCCTCTCTTTGAGTTTCTTTACCCTGGAACCTCATGGTCTTCAATAGCGATGCACCGCTCTCTGTGATGAAGGGCCATGCAGATCGCATCTGTCGTGTAGCATTTCACCCTTCCGGTCATTTTGTCGCTTCTGCTAGCTTCGATACCACTTGGCGATTATGGGATGTGAACTCCTCGAAAGAATTACTCCTCCAAGAAGGCCACTCAAAGGAAGTGTATGCTGTTGAGTTCCAAGGTGATGGGGCGCTAATCGCATCGGGGTAAGTCCATGCCTTTACAACACAATATACCTTGGATAACAGGAATCCTTAGGGGCCTAGATGCTATTGGACGAGTGTGGGATCTGCGCACAGGACGCACAGCGATGGTACTCGACGGTCACGTCCAAGGCATCTTCGGAATCGACTTCTCTCCAAACGGGTGGGGTTGTCTCCGACAGCTTTCTGCCTATCTTAATGACGATTTTTGAATAGATATCAAATTGCCACTGGCGCTGGCGACGACACAATACGGATATGGGACATGCGCTCTCTGAAGGCCCTGTACACCATCCCCGCACATGTCTCCAATGTGTCCGACGTCCGTTTCTTCCGTGCTGATGCACTCCCATCATTCAAGCCCAAGGCCGAATCCGCAGATGTTTTTATGAACGAGATTACCGAAGGTACAGATGCAGACAAGAGTCATGACACTGAGGACGACGTCCAGGAGTGGAAATATCGTTCAGGGCTGTATCTAGCCAGTTCTGGATACGATGGCTACGTGAAGTTGTGGAGCGCCGACGATTGGCAGCTACTCCGCACGCTAACGACAGATTCGGGCAAGGTCATGTCTGTGGACTTAACAAGCGATGCGGAGCTGCTCGCTTCCGGTACTTACAATCGCAATTTCCAATTATTCGCTCCAGAGGATATCCCAGTGTAATAATGCTTTGCTCGTGATAATAATTGTTACTTCAGAGATACAAATGCGAGCTGACTCAACTGGCAGTGCGTATTATACGGTTGCGATGAGCAGCCCATACATAGTGTTCGGTTGGAACACGGATCTTCTCGATCCGGGACCAATAAATGAAATTATATAAGTCCATCCCTGACCTGCAATTCAATTGTAATTTTAATCAATGAGCTAGACTGAATCAGGGTAAGCGGGAAAAAAAAATTAAGCTCACCTTCTGCATGAATCCAGCCACGCGAACTATGTCCACAACCTGTGCCTCGCTCTCGACTGCCACAACGAGATTTTCCAGCATCTAAAATTCCACCTGTAAATAAACACCCTACACTTCGTGATCAAGTCACTCACATCCTCCACTTTATCGACAGGGATACCTGTGCACAGCGCAACCACCTTCTTACATTGATATTCCTTGTCAGCGCTCGCGCCCTGGAGCGATCTTAGTCTCAACTGCATGAGATCTTCCACCCGCATGTGCCAGCTTCTTAGCCGCCTTAATCGTATCAAGGATGAGACGGAATCGCCGGTGGGTGATGGTGGCTCTGTTTCCACGTTGTACGAAATTTCCATGGCTCCTGTCTTTCCAATCATCGTCGAATTAGGTCCACGCCATTGGAAGGCAGGTCCGCCCGTCTCGCGCCCATCCCGGCCCACCAGATCTGTACGACCCGTCCAGTCGAAAATATCTTCATCTAGGATAGCTTTCTCAAGATTCCGTATCCGCTGATGGACCTTATCAAGCTCTCCACATCGGCTTTGGCACAGCTGTATCTGCTTCCGCTGTTCGGAAAGCTCGCGTGTGGCTGCCCGAAGGTGAGCTTGCGTCACATCAAGTGAGTCTTGTTTTGCTTTGATTTCAGTGGAGAATTCGGTACTAAGCTCCTGGATCATCGACGTCATATCTAGGGCAAGACATCAGAGTGCCATTGGAGTATGAAACACGTAAGCCGTACCTGCAATTATGTCCTGGCTCTTCTGGATAGGTGCTGAAGGTCCAGAACGTAGTGATGCAAGGATGTCGTCGGCTCGTGCAGTACCATTGAGCTCCTGGAAGAACCGAATTCAACACCAACATCACATACACTGAATTGACACACCATACCTCGACCTCAACACCAAAGTCACCAGGTCGCAGACCCACTTTATTGGGCAATACTCGGTTAGCCCCAACGTCAATGAGCGTTCTCACCAAAGCCCTGTTGCCTACACGTGCAGCGATGTTGAGAACCGTGTCTCCGTACTCATCTTGTAAGTCTACGAGGGACTTAAAATCACCACCCTGGTTCTGTGCTATCCACAAGAAGATCTGATCGAGATAATATCGAGCGCAGACGGCGCGACCTTGTATACCCGCCAAGTACATGATGTGATGCAGCACAGATTTTCTGGACGTGTCAAGCGTGCGGATAGAGGTGTGCAGAGAGGAGATAAGGAGATTGAAGCATTGTTGATCGAAGTTGTGCGTGTCAATAGATGCACGCATGAGCGGTGTTTCGCCGACAAAGTTGCCGCGGTGTATGTCCGCGCCAGCTGATATAAGTTGAGAAACAGTCTGTTGCCTACCCATGCTTGCAGCAAGGTGCAGAGCAGTGTGACCCTTGTCATCTAAGATGGTGTCTATATCAATAGGAGAAGACATGTCTGGTGTTAATTCGCGCAGGAGGTCGAGAACGGGCGCGGGGTCATCTTGTCGACAAATAGTAGCGATGAGTCTCGTGCGACGGGCGTCTCGAAGAGCAGAGGGGTCGCGAAGAGTATGAGGTTTGGTGGAGAAGCGAAGACCAGTACCGTCAACGTCAGCACTATCAATCAACTTCCCACTTGCAAACGTCGATATGCTCGGTGGACGCGAGACGGCATTGTTCGGATGCGGCGAACCGACGTTGATACGTGAAAGTGGACGAGTCGGAGGGAGAGCTGCCATTGACTGTGACATGATCGATGCGCTAGACAACGTTCTGCGAGATGCTTGAGATGCATCTGGTTGTGGGGTAGGCTCATTACGAGCGCGTTTTGTAGGGGATGGCCCATCTTCGTCGTTCGCTTGAGTCACAACAGAAGGCGGACGGGATCGATCGGATATTTGTATATCTGGTGCTTCCAACAATGGGTGTGAAGATCTTTGGGTGGATTGTTGTGTAGCCGGGACTACTTCAGAATCAGACCGGGCTCGTTTCAAGGACTGGATTGGAGGTGGTGTTGGGGACACTCCTCCGGATGATGGTGACTGCGCGTAGCCACTCTGGTACGGTGTCGAAGAGTATGTCGATTGTCTAGTTGGAGCGAGGGAAGATGTGGACGGAGTAAATAGGCCTTGGGCGCGCCCCTGGTTCAAGAGGCGAAGGGCAGAACCTGGCATGATGGGAGGTGGAGCTAGACCCGATTGTGAGTAGCCTCCAGAAGTACCAAGATTTGGGAAGGATGAGGCAGCAGAGAGAGGTCGCGGAGATGCGGTTGAGGGTACCGTTGGGAGCGACCCAAGGGTGTTTGTGCTAGGTGTGAAATCGAACAAAGGAGCTAGTAGAGGAGCAACACCATATTGCGCAGCGATGTCGCGGCCTCGCTCCAGTGGAATCCTGATAACATGTCATGTTCAGTCCATACGACTGAATTAAAATTTGATGATTGCACGAACCATGTTCCTTGATATTTCCCGTAGCCACCCTGGACGATTTCATGCTTACCTGGCAGAATTTCTTTCTCGAGGATTTTAGTACGCCTACCCTTCTCGATACCTGCGACCTTGAGAATCTGAGTAGCATTGACAAACGAATCACCGCGTCTACGCATCACAGCGATGCCTCGGACCATACACTCATAAACCTACAGCGTGACGCGACCGTGTCAGCCACCATTAGTATATTAAGAAAATGGCGTCAACTAACCTGAACCGACGAATAGACAGCATTATATATTTTTACCTGGGGCGACTGCCCTACGTTTCGTTGTACGGCCTGCATGCAGAGTCAGGCCCTATTGGTCACGGTCAGAATATCTGGCGTCGGTGGGAGTCGCGTTCGCGTGATGAGACGCGTGCCATGCCAAGCATGTCGGAGCTCAAAATGTAGCAGATACGCCTAATGACCTCCTCCCTCATGTCATTGTCAAGTTAACATCAGACTATGGCAGAAGCTCAGCCGGAAATGCAGCCACTGCTGGCTCATGAAGATGTCGTCGTTTGGCCCATCATCCATATGATCCGCGGGGTATGCATTGATGCATCATCTCCACAGAAGAGTCTACTAACATTTGCACCACAGGACGTCACAGTATGCTTCTTTATACCTTCAAGCGAACTCTTTTACTAACACTTATACGATAACAGCACTACATAGGCAAGTCAAATTAAGTGTTACAGTGCTGTACTGACAATGTGTACAGATACACCCCTGACGCTGGAGGCGGTCAGTGTTCACTTTCTTCTGCTATAGACTAGGTTCTAACTTGGACGGGGGTAGTTAACTGGGCCTGATTTGACCTACACTCTCGTCCGTCCTCTAGAGGAGAAATATAACGCGATTCAGCGGACTGGAAACAAATCCGTCGTGTTTTGTTTCCTTCTCAACCGCGTCTATTTCATACGTGACCAGAAAAACTTGACCACGGGACCGCTGTCCTCCTCGCGCGCCATGCTATGCGAGATACTCGCTATTCGTTGCCTAAGAGATAACGGAAGCAGTATGCTGAACATGGCACTTGTCCTGACGACTAAGTGGCAAGTCTGGTCAGGTGCTGACCCTCATATAGTCGAAATGGCAAGGGAGGAACGTGATGACGATCTAGAGGAACGCGTCGGAAATGCAATTGAGATGGCCATCATAAGCAAGGCAAGGCGCTTCATCAAAAGTTCCCCATGCCAAAAAGTTATCGATGGCATCTGGATGTGTGTCGATTATTTTAATCGTCGTCTCACGTGTTGACATGTTCCTGCTTAGCGGTAAATGTGTATACCAGGCGAAAAGTAGTCATTCAATACTGTCCGATGTAAGCCATCGTACTTTTACATGCTTCATCAGCACTAAATTACGATGCAGACATACAAACACAAGCCCATCCATTTCTACGATCCACACAAGGCACCTTTGTTGGACCATTACCGGTATGCAGTATGTCTTCGTCACGAATTGGAATTCATCTGTTACAGGCTCAAAGTCCCTGCTATCCGCTCTGTCTTGGATTACTTCAAGTAAGGCTCAATAAGTATGTTTTTTTTCTCGCTAAATCGAGTCCCTACTAGCTTCCTCGTCTTATTCATCCTTTTTGTGGTCGCTATTGAATTAAACGAACCCTCGAGGATTAATATCCCTGAAACTTTCTTTATGTTATATGGCCTCGGTTTCGCGCTGGAAAAGCTTGCAACCATGCAGGAGCATGGAATCACAGGTAGATTTTTGCGCTCACAAGTTCGAGCAGATTCACTCATGTACCTGTAGTTTATTTCAAGGGCACTTGGGTAAGCAAAACTATCCCACGAAGAGATCTCAAGTGGTTGACAGCTTGCAAAGAATGGGTTCGACCTAGCATTTGGTAGACTAACTAATGAAATGCCATATAACTTACTCACGGTCCTCTTTAGTGACGACATACTGTGTCTACGCTTTTTTTAGACTGTATGGCGTGTATGGGCACAGTGGGTCAATATGCTATCACCCACACTCGTCCTAGATAACAGGTTATATGCGCAGAACATTGGGCCCAGGACCTTGGAACCGACTTTCTGGCTGTCATTGCATGCTTAATGTTTCCAAGGTGCTACTTAATACCTTCAGTTGGCCTAGGAAGACTGACGCACGTTGTTTAGGCTCGCCTTCGTAACACTCAGAAATAATTTGATGGTTTTATCGCTCCGTGCAATGATGATGCAGTTTGTTGCTCTCATGTTGATCGCCGCATTCTGCTTTTGTGGGTTCTTGTATGCTCTCTGGACGTGAGTGCAGCGGTCTTTATGACATCATTCCTCTGTTTATTTTGGCTTCTCCAGGTTGAGTCGTAATCACGCTCGGTCTGTATCATCACATGTGATAAGGGGCTAATTATATTGACTGTTTCTCATCAGGTATTCAGCAGGGTAAGTAAGCAGCTGTTGAATATCACAATAGTCTGTAATGCTCTGTAGAACAATCGCGTGGTGGATGCTTGACTTGTGGTTCGGTCTTGATGCCAGTGGCTTTG